GTTTTTGAATTGGTATTGAAATTAAACAAAAAAAAAACAAACGAAACATGCCACAAACAAAATGTAAATGTAGCAGCATAACTAAAATTACTGTGCAGTTTTTCTTTCAATATTTGTATTAGTGGCGGCTGTTTTTTTTTTTTTAATTATATATAAATATGTACTAGTTCAAATAAGAAAATCTCGCAGACTAAAATGCAAATTAGAAAAAAAAATATAGTGCATATGTAGATTATATATAGGCTCTTTGATATTTATCCTACCTACCTATCTACCATACCTACCTTTATTATCTGCATATACATATGTATGTGCCTATGTAAATTTAAATCGCATTACGACTTTAATTACACGCTAAATATGTATATGTATATGCATACATTTTTATTATTTTTTATTACTCTTTGTATAATAAGAAATAACTGATTAAACGATAATGAAATGTGAAAAATAAAATTAAAAAATTTATATTAAAACACTATATAAATCTAAATAAACTGATAAAATAAAATAAATACGTACATACTTACAAAAAAAAATGTTATTGATTTTACTTGATTTTATCGAGTTGTAGCTGTTTTTCAAGGCTTTGTTTGATCTGTGCTTCAATTAGAAGAAGCTAAACAATAAAGTAAGTATAAAAGTATTTAAATGCCAATAATATGCATCCTTTTTCCTACACTTCGGGAACTAATTGAAAACTTTAAACGCGTCGCATGAAAAATTTATTTTTTTGAATTGTGACAATCTTTTAGTAAATGCGCGAAATGTATCTATTTATACGTACTTATACTGTGTAAAAAGTGCATACGAATAGTCCACTTCAGCGCTTCATCAAGCGTAAAAAAGGAAAGTTAATTCCTTCGGAAGACAGCCTAAAATTTAGTAAGCAGCTGTGCGAATTTCACACAATTAAAAAGTATCCAACGAAGTATAATGAAGGGTTATTTACGTAGACAGACATATGATTTAAAGCAGCGTTTCTTAAACTGTGGTAAGCGCAATATTGGTCTGCGAAGGTCGTACACGAGTAGATAATAAACAAGGGAAAAATAATCTTTAAAGGTTAAATTACTGGTGACATAACCATAACCATATAAAACAGCTGTTCCAACCAACCTTAATAAGATTACCGTATGGCCTACACTGTATTCGATTACGCTGCGTTTACATAAGACAGTTTGAGACAAGACAATTGGGAATATGTATTAGTTGTCAAATTGTTGTGTAAAGTAGGCATCCAGACAATTATAAAGACAATACATTTTTCAGCAACCGCCGCTAATGTCGCTTGGCGTGAATTTCACATTATTTAATAAAATATGCAAACGCAAACCACTTTTTCATAATTCTGCGATTTTTTGCGATTTTATCTTGCTGCTTTTTCTCAAATTAACCAAAACGTGACCGAATTGTCCAATTTACTGTCCGATTAACTATCTTCACGAAAAATTGAAGACAGTGACGAAGGCAATGAGAGAAGTGTGAATATATTATTAGAAAGTGTGAATGTATTGTTATTGTCTTCGTAAAATGTAAACGCCAAGTTAGTGGTGCCACACTATAACGCCATAGCCATAACCATAGCCATAGAGACCAATTGAATTTTGGTTTCCCGCCATAACCATAATCAGCTGATAACTAAAGTGCGAACCAGACGTTTAAAAAGAAAAATATTGTTCACAGCCAACGTTTTGGCATAAGTCTAGAATATTATGACACATTTAGTTATGCAAAAACAAAAAATATGTACTGTACCAAAATTATTTGGCGCAAGAATATAAAGATATAAAAGGTTAAATTAAAATTTGTTGATTTTTTTTTTTTGATTTGAACTACATATCCTAATCAAAAACAAATGATGTCAAAATAAACATAATTAATTTATCTTTCAGATTGTATACATAATTTATATGCTTCTTTATATTTTCAATCCCAAAACACTAAAAACGAATAAAAATTTCGAATTTTTTCATAAAATAACTTTTTTAACCAAATTTCATAATTAATGCAAGAGAAATTTATATTATTAACAAAGTACCAAATATTACCTTTTATTTGATGTACATATTTTATTATTATCTGCTGTTGAGTTTTAAGAATTTAGTTCTGCACAAATATCCTACGATAATTCACATTTTCCCCGAGTCTTGTTCCACGTCTGGCAACACCGACATTGTTGACAACGACAACAAGAGATACCCGGAAAACCCGACCACCCTATCGCCTTTGTCCCTGTGGTCCTGTGGCCCTGTTGCCCTATTGAGGCTGCACGCTTAGTGAAACTTGACGACAACGACTGAGATATCAACCGATCTGGGCGGGGTTGTTGTAGCCGCTACAACAACAACAACAACGAAAAATCAGTTGTTTATGGTTATGATACCTATAATCGATTATAGTTGATGTGGTTACGGTTATGGCAATAGTTGTGGCTATGGCGTTATGGTATGTCACCACTAATTTAAATTGAGACATCATAACTAAGACTTGTCATAATCAAAACCGGTACAAAATAGGTCTAAAAATTTTATAAAATATTAGGTGACTACAACAGGTTTTAAAACCTGGGCCAATTCCTATAAGGACAAATTATAAAAACGAAATAAATTAAAAAAAAAAAAACAATTCTTAAGAATTCTTAGCACTCACCGTTGATTTTTGGTAAATTTCTTGTGTGGAAGGTTTGCCTATTTTCTCCATGCAAAAAATTTGTTCAACATACTTTGTATGAATGAAAATGCGCTATCAAAAAGTTGCCAAAAATCAACGGTAAGTCGAAACTATGTACTTAAAACTTTCACTTTGTTATACTGAAATTGAATGGGCTACAAAACTGCATACTCAAAACAATTCTAGAAATCTGATTAAAATGTTTTAAATTTTGATTCAATGTTTTTTTTTAGATAGTAAGCTGTGTTTACGTTAACAAATTAAAAAAAAAAATAAGAGAAAGACCCGCTAGAACAGACCACCTGTTTTTATTTTATATCTTAATTGATAGATATGCTAACGAGGAGGTCTTTGTGTTATTCTGTTTGCCTTTTAACAATAAGTTTTTTTTTAAAATTTAATTAAATAACAAAAAATTTATTTTTCTTTAAAAAAAAAAGTTCTACAAAACTTTATGAAATTTAAAATATAAATTTTTTTAACAATAAAATCTAGTATTAAAAAAATTAAATTAAATTAAAAATTAAAAATGCATTTAAAAAAATATTTTTCTTTTTAAAACAATAACATCTAATATTAAAAAAATTTAATAAAAAAAGAAAAAAATAAGTTGCTAAAAAATTTAATGAAACTAAAAAATTGTAGTGTAGTTACAATGTAATTTAAAATAAAACAAAACGAGTTTCTAAAAATTGAATTTACAAAAATACGTTTGTTTTTAAAATCAAATCTATAAATTTAATTAAATAAAAAAATACATAGAACAAATTTCTAAAAATTAAATTAAATAAAAAAATACCCAAAATAAATTTCTTATAAAACATAAATTAAATTTAAAAAAATATATACATATATTTTACTTTTTAAAATAAAATATAAAAAGTAAAAGAAAATTTAATTATTAAACATACAAAAAAATTAAATTAAATAACGAAAAAAAGAATTCCGCTTCCGAGGACTCGAGTCTAAGATTTTTCGAATGGCACGCCAGTGCTTTAATCACCCGGTCATTGCAACTGTTGGAGCAGCGCGAGCAAAATGATATACATACATAAATCAAGTGCTTTCTGTCAAAAGAGCTTTTCACCATGAAAAGTGGCAAGAGTTTTTTTTAAGATCTTCGTGCCAGAATAAACTAAATCTTTTAAACTATCTTGCCAGCTGTCTTTCATTTGTCTTACAAAAGATTTGCAACTATCCCAGGCGACCAAAAATCCGAAAAAGGAAAAAAAAAATGAATGAAATGAACTTCACAGATGCTTTTCCATAGTTCAAAAAAAAACTAAGAAATTTCTTTTAATTCACTGTAATATGTAGTACGACTCTAATTGAGTTGATGTACATACAAAGATTCATGTCTTACTTGTACAACCAGTTTTATGTTTAAAGCACCTGAAGGCATTAGAGCCCGGAAAGCTAACAAATAGTGGTACGCTCCTCTGCACGCTTAGGCACGCCTGGAATAAAAGATTGTCGTATGTTACTCTTGGCAAGTTTTGGCAAATCGCGATTGATGTTCGGAATGCAATTTCTCAAAACCGCGACGATAGATTTTTCCGAACCAGAATGTTACTAGTTCATGAAATGCTTAAATTTTTTTTTTATTGTTAATTATTTTCGAGTTTATGAAAGATTGTCAACAATTTTGCAGCCACTTTGTATGACAGTGCGTAAAGTAAAGGAGATATCCAAAAAATGGATTACGTCGTTTGAAAGATAAACTGAACTGAAGAACTGATAAAACCATTTGAAAGATCTTATATATAAAATATATAACTGCATCTAATACTAAAAATCGTCAAAATGGCGCTTATGACAATCTTTTATCCAGGCGACGACAAAAAAAATGCAAAATTTACGTTTCTCTGCTAGCTGGAATCGCGTTGTATACCCATGCAGCCTCTCCAAGTCGAAATATCTCGGTAACTATATTTATGTATGTGTTCTCAAAAATTAAAGGCATTTGCTAAGGTGGATTAAAATATTCATTATTATGTATTTTATTTAAGATTTTAAATTTACAATAAATGTTTATTTTATTCGGGCCCTGTGAAATCCCTGAAAACATAATTTTTTATTTTTATTTTTTATTACAATGCTATTTTGTCAACCTTTAAAAGTACCTATGCAATACATTGAATCACAAACATCTATGTAAATTATTTAACATACCTGTTTATTGAAATATTTTTTGACTACAAAAAGGAAAAAAATTAAGGAAAAAATATTAACAAACCATTAGTGTAGCAGGTGTTTTGTGTGAAATGAAATCATGCGAATCCGTTGAGATACGAAATCATAAGACAAATGAGCAGTTTACGAAAAAACGAAAATCAAAAAAATATTATAGGAAAACAAATGGCAAACGAAATTGAAGTTAACAGGAAGAGTCTCTTCTTAAGTTTTACGGAATATGTATGTGTATATATAGGTGGATTAATTCTCCGACTGAATACTATTTGATTTTTAAACCACTTTCTCTGTCCCCACTAGTTCGGAATAGTGTACTCTAAAAGCAATTGAGAAAACATAACAAAGTGAGACTCTGAAGTTGCGTTCATATTAAAATGAAAAGCAGTCATTCTTTAAGGCAATAGTACTTAATTTCTCCGATAGATGTTAAATAACTCAGAAACATTCAAAACAATATTCTTTACATTACGCTTGGTATGCTAAGCCAAACCTCTCTACATGGAGGTCTTCAGGAGATCTATGCAAGAAATTTGTGTGACAAAGTTAATACCTTTGACCAATTTCATAATAGATGAGAGGCTTAACACTTTTGCAGAATGTCTATGTACGTTATTAAAAAAAAAAATTAACTGAAACTCGAAAACAACAACTTTATATGAATGCAACGAAGCCAAATAAAATTTTAACATAAAAAACTTGTTTTTTTTTGTGTAACTAAAAATCAGATTATAATTGTAAAAATATATATGTATATATATGTTTGTGAATACAGTTACTTACATATCTAGATTATTATAGGCATACATACATACGTAGACAATTTGGTAGCTGTTGTTGTTGGTATGGTATTGTAATAGTTGCTGCTCGTAGACATATTTATTCTCGTAGCAACATTTATTAATTTAGTTTTATTATTACGTTTTATTATGCTTCATTTATTTAATCTCCTTGTCACTGATTCTTATCTGTTTTTTTTCCTTCATGACGCCAGACTACACACGCGCATACATACGTACGTACATAGTAATTATGTGACAAAAGTTCCATTCGTTTGTACCTTTATATCTAAGTATTGTATGTTTGCTTGTATGCATGTTTGCATGTAAAATTATCGAAGCCAATATTAAATCACATTTCATGTATACACATTTTGTAAAATTCTAATCAAACAATTAAAAGTTAATAAGACTATAGTAATTTACAGTTGTTTAATAACATGCAGAGTCGCACAATTTCTGCTAATGCACGTTGACTTGTGTGGGTTCGCGCATGCTTATGTAGATGTGATTGTTCACTGCGGAGCTCCATACAACTTCTAGCACCTGTCGCTGTGCTCATCTACTGCAACATCGGTAGCTGTTACACACACGCACGCACACGCACATGTCGCAATTTCTTCAACAAATCTCCTCATTTAAAAGCTAAACTTTTGCTATTTACGCTCCACCACACTTTCAAGGCTAAGCCTGATTTGGTACTAGCATTTGTAGTTTTTGGCCACAGTTCAGCTCACACTCATATGCGACGCGCTCGTGGTGGTGGTGTTGCAGCAGCTTGGCTGGATTGTGATTGCCGTGACGCGCCCATTTCACTATCATTGTTCGTATTGTTACTGTTGCTATTATTATTTGTATTGCTTTCATGTTGGGACACAACTGTGACGGGCTCATAAATTGATTGCTGCGGCAACTCATCATCATCATCATCGTCATCTTCACCTTCTTTAAAAGAACCAGCTAAATTCGGATTGAGGATATTATTCGAAGAATGAGCGGCTGGTGATGGTGCCGCGATCGCTTGGGGTAAACTACTGGCTGCAGTGGCACGCTGTGGACGTACTGTTGCTGCCGCTATTGCGGCATCTATCGCAACGGCGGCAACATTGATCGGTGGCTGTGAAACACCGTCCTCGAGGAAGGGTGGCGCTGCAACACTTATTGACTGTGGGCGGCGGAATAAGCTGCAAATGTATTGAAAATATTGGTGTAAAGTTTTGGTCGAGTATTATTACAAATTGAATATTAATGACATACACATACGAGCGCATACCTGAAAAATGGTAATCGCCAGAAAGAGCGTCTATTGCCAGTCAGCTGATCGACGAGGTGTGGCGGCAAATTGGGTCTTCTATCGAATGGATTAACCCGCCGTCCGCCACGTGCTGGGGAGTTTTGAGCTAATAATACTAAAAAGAGATTTATGAGATTTTTAGCAATTCAATTATAGCAGAGTAATTAAATATTTTACCGAAACTTACCGTTATCTTCGTCGGAAGTCACATCGGTAACATAATTGCTATCACTTGCCGGTGCACGCCTAAAGGTGCCATGACGAGTTGTTGTAGCATTACGCCCATTGCGCCGACCACTAGCAGCAGCAGGCGAAACAGCACCACGCGTAGCTGCCGTACCAGCACCAGTTGCATTATTAGTGCTACTTGTCGCACTGGCGCTACTTTGACCACTACCGACCCTTACTGGCTGAGCAGGTGGGAGGAGTGGAGTTGTGTCATCATCTGTATCCGTTACACTATCCAATGAAGATTGTCGATTCGTCCTGCTTGCACGCGACTCGCGTTTCGTAAAAACCTTCCGTTTACAAATTGGACAAACTCGTCGATTTTCCGTAAGCCATGGATCGATACAGTGACTATGGTAAGCTGCGGAGGGGAAGAAGAAAGAAATATTATCACTAAGACGTACAGAAAGCAAATCGAAAGACATAAGCATCGTGTTCGACAGACTCTTTGGGGAACTTTTATGCTGCTACAACAACAACAACAACAAAAGCATCGCTGTACTTACGATGCTTGCATGGCAGCACGCGCAGTTTATCGCCCTCCGCGAACTCATCCAAACAAATGACGCAGGTGTCTTGCGAGAGATCACAATTTTTCGTATACTTTAAGATCGGCAGTTTCTTAAGCATATTCTTCGGCAAGCGATGGCGACGTAAACGACGCTCCTCACGTATACATTTGTAAATCATGTAGAATATCTGGGGAAGCAGAGTGCAATGTATTAAAATTAATGGAAAAAAGTCGATTCGAAATTAATAAAATAATTATATTAAAAACAAAATTTAATTAAAAAATAAAAATGTATCATTTTGTAGAATGCTATTTTCGGAAGACAAGCGATGCAAATGAAGAAAATATCTTGACCACTTTTTATATGCGGTTATTTATGCATCTCTGCTAATTTTTTAAAATTACTTATAGGTCCCAGTGGCTAATACAGGGAAAGTATTGGGTTTAACCCAATAAAGGCATAAGCATGTAAAAAAAACACTTCCCGAAAACTGTTATAGTGGCATTTAAAATAATTCCAGAGCATTTCAAATGGATTTTCTGACTCGCAAGCCTTGCAAAATAAACCTATTCCAAACATTTGGTTCCGGTAAATTTGGCAATCGCCGAAAATTTAAGACTTTGCTTCGTTCCCTCGTTCTTACAGCTCCTTTAGTACGAATGTGTACGTTTTTTTGCTGGCATATTTAATAAATGAATGTTGAAATGAAGTCTTTAAAAACTAAACTTTTTCGCCGGAGAACCGCCAATCTTTGATCATACACAATTTTGAACGCAATTTTTTGTATTGCTTAATAAAAAAAAAAACTGCATAACAAACAAATTATCCAAGTAGTCGCTTCGTTTACACAACTTTTCGTTAGAATCGTTTATCCGATGACTACAGGGACGATCAGAAATGTTAGTCGGGTTCTTGAAGAAATATAATGTGCCTATTCAAGTGAATCGGAATATAATTTAGTTTCGAATTCCTAATTTGATTACCATAATGAGGAAGCAAAGCCCAATCAAAATCGAAAATGGTAAAATCAATTGCGTATTTATGTTGAATGGCAGCTCATCGTTTATCACCAATATGTATTCAGGTGTGAAGAAGCTTATCAAACGACTGCCGGTATTGTTCCCAACGAACACAGCTGGTATATAGATGCCACTTGCATTTTTCGCTGACATTTGTTCTGCAATAGAAATAAGCAAGGGGTAACAATAAAATGTAATTTTGAAATAGAAATTTCCAAACACAAAAAAAAAAAACGAAAACTCACCCAAATCATCACCATCATTATTAAATACGATGACTGCATCGAATCCGGATGCCTGTGCATTGCGAACTTTCTTCTCAAATGTACAGTTTGTGCCGCCACCTCTGCGAGTAAAACATGCCGTAAAAACATATAAAGTTATAACGATTGGAAGAATATACAGAAATGTATGTAGTTACCTCTCGATAATGGCTACAAACTTCGCAGTTTTTGGATAATCACCGTTGCGTGGTGGTGGATCGATAAGACTACAGGCAAATATGTTTTTAGCTGGTACAGCAAAGACTTTTATACCATTCGCAGGCAAACTGGGACCAAATTGTGCTGGAAGATCATTGAACTCTTCAATTAGCTGCGAAAAAGAGAAAAACTGAAAAATATTAATATAGGTTATTAAAAATTTTGAAAAAAAAGCGAAAAGTAAACATAAAAATAAAATAATTATGCTCTATACGCATATTATGCAACTTTTTGAATAAAAAATAAAAATCCAAAAACATTAAAAAATAAATCAAAAATATTAAAAGTATAAAATAAAATTATTTACCGCACTGTCTATTCTCCTGTAAGCCAGTACATGTGCTGCCGCTGGCTGGGTCCACAGCGATAGTCCACAAAGCGCGAAAAATTCCAATAGAAGCCATTTTGAATGCGTACGAGGTTCCATACTTCGTTGAAATTTGTGTAGGAATTCGTGGCGGAGAGGTTTAAAAACGCGAGGTTCTTTCAAACAGAGAAATGATGTTAACTTTATAAATTTAATGATTCTTGTTGTTGTTTTTTTTTTTTGATTGGGACTGTGGGCTCCTTTCAGTTCGCTACTTTCTAAGTAATTTCATATGATTCACTGAAACCGCCGATCAGTCTTTTTACGATCTTTTCTAGTCACTTTCACTTTTAATCCAAACTCACTCGATTGTTGGGTTTTAAAGTGGATCGTATATTCGTTTCAGAAAGCGTTGATGTTCTTGTCGCTGCTTTCCTGTAATACGTTTTGCATGTCTCATTGGTAACACAAGTTGGGTTGTGTGCGTCGAACAAACCTAAGGGATAGAGAAGGAAGTATTGAGAATTGAATTGAAATATTTTGCATACAGATTTAATATTTTTTTGGTATATATACTTGTGTATAAAGAAATTAATAATTATATTAAAATAATTACAAAATACATTACTTCAAGGCATTGACCCTATTTTAAATTGCGTTATCACCGATTCAACTTCAAGTGCATATATTACAAGAGTCAAGCAATCTGAGCATAAGCAAAAGTATTTTTCGATTATTGTGTAAGTCTGGCGTGAATGCTGGCCAATGGTCTGAGATAAAGTAGAGTTTTGCTGGTGTTGTTCCTATAACTAAAAAACTTGAACAACAATAGGTCAATAAGATTTTAGATTTAGATTATGGCAGGCTGATAAGTGTCCTTACTGCAATTAAAGAGAATTTGAATAAAGGACCTGGACTTTTCTGTGGCCATGTTAGCTTGTTTTCTTCTCGAATATAAGCAAAAGGCATTCGTCATCATGTATGTACATACGTATTGAAACTATTCCACGAAAATCTGCTAATTTTTCGTAAGAATATTAATAAAGATAACAATTTCAACATTTTACGCAATACACCAAGTAAGTATATCAGTGTAAATTAAATCATAAAACAGGCATTTAATCCCCAAAGAATAGGGAATCTCGAGTGATTGGCTGATAAGCGACGTTGTTAGTAGCAATTGCCCTTATGATAGATTTTTTTTTTTTATTAGACTGCAAAACTGATAATTCAGTTGATTCGCCGTTTCCCCCTATCCGTACTCACTTTATACAGTGGTTCAAAGGAATAAAGAACTATGTACATGCATATGGGTGTTTCCATGGTGTCGGACGTGACATTAAGTCGTACGAGTTTAGAGTTAAATAAATCATACGAAAACCGAAGTCACTTGTAAAAAAAAAATGTGCCGTTGTATAGCTTTTATACCGTCCTTTGGTTGACAAAAAAATTAGGTGCGCTTAGAATACTGGTCTCGAGAAAATCGATGAAAAGAAGGGCATAACGGACGTGACAAAAACAGAAGTGATTTCAGCATGAACCAACGACTACAGATCACGTAATCCGCCATCGTTGTATTTGTAATCGATTTTCAGAAAAAAGTTTTCGTAGCGTTTTTGATGTTTTTTGGTTCTGTTTACATCGTCTTCTACCTCTTCGTAGTGATATTTTAGCGATTTTATGCGTTTTCTGCAGCGGTTTTAATTAGAAATTTTGATTTATTACAAATTTATGATATAATATGAAGTGCTTTGTGATTGGAACAAGTTTGTGCGTCTGTTTGATTTGCCAAGAGGCGTAAATTTGCGTGAAAAGTGGGTGCACATTTGTGGTCAGAACGGTGGCATTGAAAAATCGGCCGGTGCCGATAATATGCGATTGTAAAACACTCTCAATCATTAAAACCATATTTTATGAACTTTTTTTGCTAATTGTCATCAAGTTTCACTTTTTATATTTTATAATAAATACAAATCTAATCGCACTCAATAACCGCGCCTTTTTCGTTTTCTTTGTTTGTTTTCATTTTTAGGCAGATGTCAAAAACGCTCAGAAATTTACTTTTTTCATTCTTTTCCGATTGCGTGATCTTGTTAGTTGGTTCATGATTTCAGAGTACATGTAAAATTAAGCTAAACTCAGCGAATCCTGTAAGGTTTTCCTTTATTAAACATTCTTTAAATTAAGTCAAATTATGGGCCGTTACAACCAATTCATTTTTAATCAGAAGCAATTCGTTGTTGATTTCATTTTGAAATAAAATCTGATAACGGACTTGACAGATTTTTCCCCCGCATACAGTATTCTTACTTATAACACATACCATATTTAATTTTTTATTTAATTTTGAATTCATTTACTTGCATTTTCGGTTTTCAATTTTATGCAAACACCCTTTATGGCATATATGCAGTACATAGTAGCAAAATAATAAATACATATATAGCTTTAATTCTTGGGAAAATATACAAATGTTTAGCTAGTTACCATTTATAACGATCCCTAATAATGGACTGTGATGGACTTTCCTAATTAGTAATAACTACACTACATGCCAATGAATCTCTAAATTGTATTATGACCTGTCAGTGATAGGATTGTATAAGGCCATTAAGATACTTAGTTTGATAAATTTAAATGCCAATATGTTTAATTAAATGTAATTAAGAAACAAGTGTAAAAAACACCAATGACAGGCGGGCGATAAGCAAAGTTGATGAAGGAATGCAAAATTGCACTTAAAAAAGAAATTGTTTTTTATATGCAACAATAGCGGAAAAGGTGACAGCAGCGATCGGAGGGCACAACAGAACGTGCTGGGCAGTGGGGGTATAGGAAAAATAGAAGCGCGACAGCTATTTTTGTCGAAACATTAAAACGAAAATAAACATTAGGGGTATTCTCGAAGTATTGCACGATGCACGTATTGCACGA